AATTTCATCAAAGTTTTCATGGTAAAAAAAAAAAAAGGATTCTTTCATTAAAAGTGCCCACAAGTTCAATAGTTGTAGCATTACAATTACTCCACAGCATGTACAAATCGCTAGTTTGAAGTGTTTAGGGGAATAAAAATGGTTGCATTAATTATGGTGAGGTACTCCAGAAGCATATGTCTAGGAATGGCAAAGGAGAAATATAATGTGTGTGTGTGTGTATATATATATATACGTGCCCTAACATGTATCCACATGATTACCTGTATACATGCATTTAAATGCCAACTCAGTAAACCAGTTTAGGGGGTCTTTGGATTCCTTAGCAATCCACTTTTTTCTTGCGGAATGGACCATAAGGCAACCTTACATTTTGATAGAAATGCCATTATTTACTTTGGTGAGTTGAGGGACGCAGTAAAAAACAGAGTGCATGATACCAAAAAATGAACTGGTAAAGACTCCAAAAGATTCCTTTACTAGGTAACTTTTAATGATAATAATCTATACTGCATATTATAACCTACCTGCAAAAGTGATTAGAATGACTTGCAATCCAAGTGATATTATCTATCTATTCTAATATATGTAACATATACGGGCTGTCCCAAGGGTAGCCACTGCATCTATTTGTACAGTAAATTCCCGGGTGCTTATTCCCAAGAGTTGACGATAAAATGCTGATGCTGTGACTTACCTGCTCTGAAAGACCTGTGAGTGCCTCTACTTTGGATATATAAATGTATTTGGATGTATTTACCAAATTAAAAACATTCATATGAGGAAAGTATTTTGCTTTGCATTTTTAGTTATTGCAACTCATTTAAGTCTGCATACTTATTTCATGTCGAGCTCACTTATTACTTTGCCCTGCTGGATTGCTGCTTAAAGGAGTCTTGTTGTATATTTCCATTTTGAGTTATTAGTTTAAACTTTATGAATTTACCAACTAAGTAAATGTTAATAACTCTAACATTTTTACTTGCTTATGGTTATATTTTCATGCTTGTATCCCATCCCAGAGTTAGGTATAGTAGGTTCTCCTCCTAGTTTATACCTGTACGCCAGTCCATGCTATAGATCATATTGTATTCAGTAAAGGTCCATGGACAGGGCTCTTGCACTGAGAATAGGAGGAAAAGTAAACAGCATTTACTGACCTGTGTTACTTAACAGGTGCAGTT